CTCAAAAATGGATTTATTAAGAGGCCCGCATTTCTACATATGCAGGCTTGGCAGCATAGAAACCGGGTCCTTCTCCAAATACCCTAGTTTAGAGAGTTGCTGGCCTGAGATATCCAACAGATATTCACCAATGGGGTACCCCAACTGATACCTTTCAAACATCCAATTTTTTTCAGTAATCTAAATAGCCTACAACATATTCTATGGCCTATTCCAATCCCACTCAAACACATGATTTCCACCATTAGATCCATTTTCTGTTTGCCTAAAAAATCCAGCAAGAACTCCTTTTGCTGAGCCGTAAACTACCTATGATTCATCTCATCTTCAAACCCAACCTTAACCTCCAATAACTCTCCCAGGCCATAATCATATTTTCCTAGACAGAGAAATCTTACACAAAATTTTGCCCACTCCAGTCACCGAAAACCATCCCAAGTTCAAACCCTTCGACCACCTGGCCTTTGTTCTATCAGATTATATCATCGATTCCAGGAACCCTTTATGAAAATAATCACAAACCCTGCTCGGCGAGCAAATCCAGCAAGTTTGTGTAACTTACCAGCCTTGCAAAAACTTCCCCAATCTAGTTGCAAAATTGCCATAACCTCTACCTTAAACCCCACATCAGTACTGTATCCAAAGCTTAGTTAGCAGGAGCTCCAGGAACACAATCCCACAGTCCCAGAGTAGTACTGCAGACTGGCTGTGATCCTATGTTGGGGGAGCACAATCCCAAGCCAATAGGAGTTGGTCAACCGGTTAACACACCCATATTATGATATCTTTAAAAGGAAAAGAAGCAATAAATACTCCTGTCCAAAAACAAACCACTAAATGCACGTCTATCAAAAAAAAAAAACCTAAATAATTGCATCTAAATAAAAAAGAAAGAAATAATAATTCAAATCCATGTTCCGCAAAATTTTCAAAGGAAATTCTTAAATCCACTTCAATGCCAAAGAAAAAGTTTTAAGTCCAATGCACTTAAAATTGCATTTAATGTAGGGAATGTTGGTCCACCACATACCACAAATGATTGTTGGATTTTTAACCATCATCTTTTTAAAATGCATACAAGAGGGATTGATCTCTCTGCCGTCACTATCTCTCTCTCTTTTGCTATTTCTAGTTTTATTTGCTCCATCTACCTCATGCTTTAGCTTTTATATATCTTTTCCAAATTGAAATGAATCAGATTATGTGATGAAAAGGGTAAGACTTGCATGTGATTTAACCAAAATACTGTACATTACTATAATTTACAATGTAAGATCAAATAAATTTATTTAGTATATTATTCTTTTTCTTTATTTCTTGGATTTCACTAGATACAATCCTAATTGCTTGATCATTTAGATCACTTGGAATTTTATCCAATTCGTTGAAGGTCGTCTGGGCTTTTCCTGGGAGTATGGCATGGGTTACTTCAGTGCCGTAGCGCCTGGTACTCGGACATTGGCTTGAGGCAAGACTCAAGTAAATAAATATGAATAACTACTCTACAATAAGTATAGTTGAAGATAATTCTAATATATCAAATTTGTGTCTAAACATTTTTCAAAAGAATATTAATTGATCTTTTATTTTTTATAACTAATCCAGGTTTGTATATTTCTTGTATGCAAGCCCTAATGGCAATACCAAACTAGGGAACTCGTAGCAAGCAAGAATCCCCAACTCCCGCTCATGTTCCCACTTCCAACAACTATGATTCCAAGTTCACACTTCATCATCATATCCACCTCCCAAACCCCTAGAAACCAGGACCCCAACCCTGCAACTATTTTATCCACACTAAACCTCCACTCTAGCCTGATTGTCACTCATGTGGGAGACAAGAGACTTGGTCCTACATCAATGTAAGTCTCAAGGCCTCTACAATTTTTTTTTCCCGAAAATCAAACCCTCAAACCATTATTAACATAAATCTCATATTAAATTTTCGTTTCAAAATCTTTTAGAAGCTATGAGACTGTTTTTTGTTTGGTTCCAACAATAAAGGAGAATTAAAGTGAACATTTTGGAGTTTGTAACAAGATTCTATTTATTTCATCACATTCAAGACGTAGCAATAATGGGGAGTATGACTTTGTTAAACATCAACAGCACATCATGTGCCCAATCAGCCAATGGATATGAGCGGATGATGAATTGTAGTTACCAATATGACCATGATCAACTGCCACCAATCCAAGAATTGGGTCAACATGAGATTTTAAGGATTTCATTTCAGGGATAGAATTTGGGAAAGCCAATGTTCATAATGAATCAAGTATGCATGTTAGGTTGCAACACCCAAATTCAATCTAATATCATAAACTAGATCTTTTTTGATGTTGAAGTAAGCCCTCAATGATATCCCAAGAAGATTATGCCCGTTGCTTATTTGGTTTTATAACATATGCACATGTTAAGGATTGTAGGAGCTGCCATATTTTTATGTTTCTCCTCTCCCATCTCCTCTCTCTGTTCCATCTTACTTTCGCTTCCCGCCCTCACTCGAGGCATATGTTCAGTAACCTGGCGCTGATCCCGCCTAAGCTGGGTCCCGGGAGGGGTGGGCTGGAAACGGTCCTAACCTTTGGCTTATGCACAGAGTGGCCGCTCTCAGGACTCGAACGCGCACGCTTGCGCTGGCTTGCCCAAGCCTTTTACCGTCACACCAAGTGACAGCCCCTTACTCGAGGCATATGTCCCTGTTTATAATTTTATATGTAGCCCGATGAGTACTGATGTGCATCTCTCACCTTCTTTATACAATGTTAATTATCAAAAAAGAAGTAATATCAATACGAGAAAATTTCAGCAAATAGTATAGCAAGTAGGCAGTCAGAGGAAGTCTTTAAAGGATCGTATTTCCTTTTACCTCACTTTTAGGATAAATTAATAGCAAACAGTTTTATAGTTTTAAGATGTTATCACATACAAAACTAAAGAAAGAACATACATCACATGCACACAACATAACAGCGGCCTCGAGAGATTTATAAACTCTTAGGTTCAAACTATGGTTTTAATTTAATAAATTTAAGAAACTTCAGCAACAGGGTCGTTTCTACTTCTTCATGCATCTATTGGATTCATTTATATACTTTGAACACATTGTATCAATACAAGTCAACCAAAAGACATGAATTTACAAATACATATTGTTTTTTTTTTTTGACATGGTTACATAGGAATTGAATTTGAGGCATCGGGCTATGAAAACCTAGCCTCTATCGTCTCGACACAAGCCCGTTTCCTTCAAATATATATCGGTTGTGCAAATGCCATTGGCAAGAATAGGTGCTTTGTATGAAACAGATTCATGCATTTCAGACAGTACAATGTACAAAACAAATATGTTATAAGACATGTACTGTACAAAAGTCTCCCCAAACGTGCAAAATTTTTTACTAAATGTTGTCACCTTTCATCAATCGACATTTTTGTTGTTTTATTTCATAGAAGCCTCTACTTCTGTCATACACTACCAATCAGTATCTATGGGGAACCAACAAGTCATTGTAGAATAAGTTGTGGTAGAAACAACACAGGAATGTGGGAGAGTCCTTTTATAGATAATATCCATAAGAGTAATAGAGAGATAAAGAGGGGACAGAGGGAGAGGTGGGGGTGGGAAGGGAAAGAGAGAGAGATAGAGATTTACCACAAGGTAAAAAATTAAATGTGAACCTGCCATTTTTATCAGATACAGCATGGCAGAGTGCATTCTTTGGCCAAGGAGCATCACCAGAACCCTGGGGACAACTCACCTCCAAAACATCATCTGAATGTAAATAAATGTGTACTCCTAAAATTGGATTACCCTGCAAAAAGAGAAAGTGATATACTTCAGGGTCATGTGCAACCATGAATAAGAACTGCAGCTTCAATAAGTATTAGCACAAATTAAAATTTCTTCTTTCAAGTACTAGCTACCAAAAGGCAGACAAATCATTCAATAAGACATACCAAGAAATCTCTCAAATGGTGCGCGATAACATAACTGTTTCTTTTTTTGTAAGTTAACTTTATATTAAATTAAAAAAAAAGCCACTGACCTGTAACCTGAAAAAAAAAGCCACAGAACTGTAACCTACAGAAGAGTACAAGTGACACAAAACTAAGCGAATACTAACAGCATTTCCAATACATAATGTTTCACTACACAGGACTTTTCTAGCCCCTTGTATCAGTAGCATCATTCGCGTCCCTTAAACAAAGGAGCTACCCAAGGGATTAGTTTATCTCATGGATTTTTCCAAAACATCTGCTTTCCTCCAAGATGTTGCTGCCTCCCATCTCGCAAATCTAATCACCCATTATTTGCAACTTCAGGGCTCAGACACAAAAGCAGCTCAATTAGAAGAGCACTCACTTCTGCCTTATCATATATTGATTAAGACATTGACATCCATGAAAGATAGCAGACCCAATGAGTAGGAATTAGTAAAGCACAATATATATTATTGGCTCACCACATAATCAAGTAAGGAACCAAGCTGTCTCAAGTAACCTTCACTCTAACTTAGGCAGTATCCTTCAAAAAAAGACTAAAAGAGAATTCGCTTTACAAAATAGGTAGCAAAATGCCATCAGATCTGTTGCACAAGTATTTTTGTGATAAAGAGTAAGAGCTTATTATGTGATTACATACAAACCCCAGTAAGCATGAATGGTCAAGTTCGAGAAAGGAAAAATATATATTTACAAAATTGGTAGCAAAATGCCATCAGATCTGTTGCACAAGTATTTTTTTTGATAAAGAGGAAGAGCTTATTATGTGATTGCATACAAACCCAGTAAGTATGAACGTTCAAGTTTGAGAAAGGAAAAAAAATAAAATAAATAAATATATATATAACTTGTACATTCCAATGCAACAGGATAGATCTCAAAATGCATATTACCTGAGCAACAACAAAACCATTTAAAACATATCCACGAGCAAAGAAGATATCATCGACTTTCCCATTTCCAAACCCCAACTCTACCTGCACCAAAAATGGAAGTCACATGAGAAACATTAGCTTAATGCTTTCCTAGAGATCTGACAGGAGAAGTATTCAACCTCTGCAGATCCTCTGACTTCAAGCTCCAAATCTGGATGAGAAGCACGGAGTTGATAATTTCCTGCATCCACACCCCCAAGATTAAATAATAAAAAAAGAAAAGTATGAACAAACTCAAAAGCAAATGACAGCGATCACAAGTAAAGGAAATCAACAAGAAATATGATTGAAAAAATATATCATGATTCTAAAAATTGAATGCACAGGACCATCTTCCAACCAACAAGGTAGGCCAGTTAAGTACACAATCAACAACAGAAAATCTCCCAGTCAGATGCAAGAAATAATAACAAGCCTAACAAACTATCCTAATAAAAGCTCTAGGAGTCTGTCAGCTGTTTGTCATTTATATAAGTGGAAAACCTCAACTGTGACTCATGACAAAGCTATGCCAGAATGCTTTTTATCTCCCAATACAACAACAAAGTGCTTGGAAGCCACCAGACACTCCAACAGTTCCAACCATCTCTCACAAAGGGAAAAAACTACCAGCTCAAAGTTTCAAAAAGTCATATGTAGTTACAAACAAAATTTCAAATTTAACATAATCATAGCTCTCCAATGAGTGCCAGATAAAGACAAGAACATTCAAAAAATATGTAAGTTTGAAAAACATGATAGTAAAATCTTGAAAACCATCTTCTAAAAAATTTTAAGAGGAAAAACATAACTTTTTTTCATTTGGTTAAGCGAGTGAAACACCCATTTGCTAGCGTATAACAGTTCCAAAAAGTCTCAAATTAAGTTTACAATTACTCTGAAACAATTTAAAACAGACACAGCTTTGGAGCTCAAAAATACCCCAAATCAAAATCTGCTCCAAGACTGAATCGAGATTCTGGACCATAATATTATAATTGGTATCAGATCTAGGGAAGTTGGAGATAAAAATCATTTTCCTTTTTTTTTCTTTTTTAAAAAAATTGATCTAACGATACATCAAATTATTTTGAAAAGATTTCGGTCACACGAATTCCTCTAACTAGGCGTTTTCCCCGTGGGACCAAATCTATTAGTTGATCCTGCAAAATTACCACATAAGCCACCTTTAAAAAAGTTACAAGTTAAAAAGCACCTTAGGAAGAAGTTGAAATACAGTAATTAAAAATTTGTTGAAATCAGGTCATCAAGTTAATTTGCTCCAACAAATTTGGCATAACCAATCATTTTGGGCCCTTAAACAAAATGATGAATACACCACCGCTCTCACCCTTCTTTCTCACAAAATCCTTTGCAGCAAAACTATGTTCATTGCGGCTAAGTAGCCAAAGAAATATATTTATCGAAAATCAGCCAAATTTTGGAAAGCTGCCCAAAACAAAACCAATCGCAAGCATCAAAGAACCCATGAGCCCTATCTTATATCAGAGAATTGCATTCAATGAATGAAAAGAAGCTTAAAAGTTTATACAAATTTTGCAAAATGTTGGAATTCACCAAAGGCATGTTTATTCCCACCCCATGGGAAAACTCTTTCATATCTAAATAGGTATGAAATTGATTTCTCACCAAAACGCATTGAGCATCTCTTTAGGCAGATGTGATACACTTTACCATGAAACAAACATGGGAAAGCGGTAATCCAGTAAGAAAAAACTTTCTCAAGGAGTTAATTCCCTCGAAACAGATGGACCCCTAGTGATTCCTAATTTCTCAATGTAACTCGAACTGCAGTACATATAGTCCCATGGAACCATTTCCCTTCACATTCCAAAATCAAGAAAGAGTTAAATTCATAAAAGCAATATTTCATAGCTCCTTCAAAAAGAAAAAAGGGAGCTATACTTCACAGTTACATGAATGAAACTACATGTTTTATATGAAGTAAGACTTAATCACACTGGAAGGGAACTCCATTGAAAAAACATTTTCTAGAAATATGCATAGTTACTGGGATCAGGATTGCTGTTAGAGAGACGCACGAAGATAGGCGGGACAGGGTTCGAGATCCGTACACCATGAGTTTCAGGGTTCGTGATCCCACAATGAAAGGAGTGTTATCCAAATTTGTCCAAGATCGAATGATAAAGTATATGGGATAGAGGCCCATCCAGTGTAGAATCGAGGTTCCCTAATAAGAGAACTTAACTCGCACCTGGCTCGGGAACAAAGTCCGTTACTCATATTCATCTATCCCTATCCCATAGGTACAAATGTTTGAATCAATAGATAACCTTTTCTTCTGTATGAATCGATATTATTACATTACAAGTCCTTCCCGATATCTCAATTGAATCCCAAATTGACAAGTTAGCAAGAGTTTATCCATGCGGTTATGCAATCCTCAAATAGGAATCAATTTTCAGAAAGATCCTGGCTTTCGTGCTTTGGTTGGTCGTCCAAGATCCTTTCGATGACCTATGTTGAAGGGATATATATGATCCAATTGACTGCATAAGGTCCCCCGGTAGCAACGGAACCAAGGAAAGTTCTTTTCTATTATATTTAGTATGTGATCCCGGCTCAGTGAGTCCTTTCTTCTGTGATGAACTGCTGGCAGTAGTCCTACATTTTGTCTCTGTGGGCAAAGGATAGAAAGGGGGGGCTAAGTGGGAAGAGGATTGTACCATGAGAGGACAAGGAGGTCAACCTGATTCAAATATACATACATGATTTATTTATTTATTTTGTTAAATTCAAAAACCTAAGTATCATTAAATACAAATATTCTTGTTTTTAAAATATTTTCTAAACTTTTTGTTATCATCGAAGTGTGTTTCATAAGTGAAAAGTGAAACAAAAAACCCAAAATAATGATTCAAATTTCAATCCTCAGGCATGAAAGAAGCTCTATAGTTTGATGAAAATTCAGTGTCCTTGTTTTCCCTTGTTCGGGTCCTTTCACTTACATGCGATTGGGCGTTCAACTAGTCAAATGCTCTCTAGAATCACTAGTCAAAATAGGGTCTAGGGGCAAAGAAAGGGTCAACCTATAAAGGTCTCTGTAGAGGTGTATATCGTCAACGAGAGGGCATCAGAGACAGATTAATCTAATAAACAGTATAGAGCTTCCAGTAAGTGAAATGAAAAGGATTTAGGGTAGGAGATGGTGAAGCTTTAGCTTTGCAACTATTCTCCTTCATCTATGGGTTCCATATAACATAATATGGTGGCACCTTGGGGTGTTTATTTCTGTGACTTACAACTCCAAGCTTCAAACCCTGGCTGATGTTTTGGGCATTCAGATTGTTTCTCAACTGGTTGATCAGATTTCAGAAATTTTACAGAAATATGCTCCTACAGAGAGAGAGAGAGAGAGAGAGAGAGAGAGAGGAGAGAGAGGGAGATCATGGGCTAGGTAGTTAGAGAGAAGATGGTTGGGGGAAGAGGAGGGTTATCAGTGCATGAGACTCAAAATGTGCTGGTCATCTTCGATACCAATGCAAAAGAAACTCAATTCCACATTGATAGAGGCATGATTCCACTTACTCATGGACCTATGATTTGGGACCTGGGTTCCATTAACCAGGGATCTAGATCCCCAATTTTGCAAATCGAGATTTCTAAATTCAAAAAGCGTCTAGAACTGAGATGCCTTATTCCAGAGCTCAAGATCGAGCTTCTGGAACTAGAGCGACCACCTCTTGGGCAATCCTGGACTCCTGGTAACTACAGAAATATATAAAGCATAGTCAAATGTAACAAGGTGACACCCCCACAAAGTTTCAACCAACAAAAAGAATAACATATACTATGAAACAAGAGAGGGCAAAATAGGATATAGGAGAAGATAAACAAGATTTTGAATGGAAAGCATATTTACCACCCTCATAATCAACAAATTCATAGGTCAGGAAGGGAAAGAAAAGGTAGAGTATGATAATATCACCATAGTTAGAGGAAAGACATTGGAAGCATCAGTAAGAGCCGGAATGAGAGCATAGTTGATATCCATTGGAGGTTGCCTAGGAAGTGCCTAGGCTTTGGGGAGTCAACAGAGAGACCTAAGGCCTATAAAATTTGTTCCCCATAACCCACACAGTTCCCAACCTATCATTAAAAGGATCCTAATAAGTAAGATATATGGCAATTGGCTGCTTTATGTACAACACAGCAATTTCATTTCTTTATTCTGCGAGGTTTATTTTATGAATGATGCTGTATGCCCATCATATGCAGCTATAGCCTTTTCATTCTTCTCAGCCACTGTCAACCTAAAGGGAAAAAATTTAACAATCTAGAAAAAGATGAACGCTAGCATAGCTTCAAGGAGTTCAAGGGCAAGTAAATTGGTAAGGGAAGAACCTAAAACTTGTGTCGTATACTGCCTTAGAAGTTAAAAAATACCTAAAAAATGTTAAGTAAACATTTCATTCTAAGAATCTTATGGTGTTAATTAAGAGATGGGGCTAGACTGTGCAAGTTGACTTCTCACCTATAATGTCATTCACCAACAAACCATACTATGGTGAATAAATAAGACAGGGTGTTCCCTAAAGTAGCAGTAAAATTTAAAAAGTCTGAAACTAACAAGCCAAACAAAATCTAAAATCTAGAAACACAAAGAAATGTAAAAGCCTACACTGTTGGAATTAAATTTAATAAGGTATTAGGCAAACTGAAAGATATTAGCAAGACCCAATGTAAACAAAATTTCAGCAAATTTTATCACGAAAGTTTGGAACAAATTTTATCACGCAGCAAGGTTCATAACACCAAGCACCCTCAATATGATGTTTTCCATGACGATAAAGCTGGGATTGGCATCTTTACATCAGTTAGCATGAAGTAAAGTGACACATGTTGAGTTCTTTTTGAACCAGTGATGGAAAAGTAAAATTGGGTTTATAAAGTCCTCTACGCAGCAGATCACAAGGAAAAGATATTCTATAGAAAAAAGTAAAAAGGTGTCCACCCATACAACCAACTAGAGATGAAGTGCACCAAGATAGATGAAGCAGCTTCAAAATGCACAGATGGGGTAAAACTTTTCTGTTTTTTCCTTTTTATTGATCCAATCTTCTTTTCTAGCCCATTGTCTGGATAGATAGCAGGTTAACAAAAGAAATTGTCAATTCCATTAGCGGACTATATAACCCGATTGCTTAGTATGCAATTCAAAGACAATGTGGACGGGCGCAAAAATATGTAAAATGTGGAACACCAGTAGGACGTGGCATTCCTACAGTATTTTGATATCAGCTTACAAAAAAATGAAAAACCTCTCATGTACTAAGGCAAAACTTAAGTACAAGGTTATTGTTTCTTCATTAACATATTTTTCAAAAGGAGAAGATGTTTAGTCGTGCTACGATCTATTTTCCTCTTTATTTTGAAAAAAAACTTTCCACATGGATGTTTGACTCACAGAGTATGCTATTTACCTAAGCATTCTGACTAACACAATAGTTCTTATTCCGAAAGGAGAGGGAGCAAAGGATAGCAATGATCAGGAACTGCACAATTTATAAGGAAAGCTGGCACAAGTCCAATCTCTTTTAGCATGTAGAAGGCAATGCTATTGAAAATTCCTATTCAAGGAGATGCATGCAATAAGAATTCAAAATTAAAAAAAAAAAAAAGTGCATGCAAGGGATGATCGGGAATGAGAAAATTCATTCCACAACACCGAACACTGGATAGCACTAGGTACCTGGAGTGATATTTGTGAAACAGTACCCTCCTGTTGATGATGTGAAAGCAACAGATACAGTATCACCATCAGGCGATAGCAGTTCAACTTTCACATTAGAAGGTGCCCCATTTTTTGACGAGCAGCTTTCTCCTCCCACAGCTCCAACCACTCTTCCAGAAAGGGTAAACCTAGAAAGCAATAATTCCATTACAAGTTGTGAAAGACCAGTGAATACAACCAGTCCAATAACAAATAGCAATTTCTTTGTATATGATCCAAGGAACCTATCACAAAGAAAAAAGGAATGAAGAAAACCCTGTGAGCTGGAAATTGATATCAACATTTGAATTGCAGCCATTATGATCGACAACAACAGGGACCTGCAAGTGTACCATGTTATAGACTTGCCAAATCCAAATATATACTGCATGCATGCATATTTAGAGAATTACTACGAGATGTAGTGGGAAAGAGGTAGCAAGGTAAGATGCATGATCCAAGAAAATTGACAAACCTACTTTATCTGGCTCCCAAGACCATCCATCGGGCCCTTTTATATTGATGACAAAATTACCCTGTCAGCGGTGAAACACCAGGCGTGCCAAATATCAGCAGTAGACTAAATTAGGAAAGAGTAAAGATGAGAAGGGAACAAATGAAGATGTTGCAAGCAATAGCAGCTACAACAATGAAAGAACCATTAATATTTAATAGTACCAGAAACCAAATTCCAGCATAGAGAAAATAAATAAAGGACTCAAAAGTAAGTATGGCCTATAGAACTTATCCGAAATAAACATATATATATGAGAAGTATAACAAATCAGGGCGCAAAAAGCAGTTTGTAAAACAAATCAGGTACAGCAAATAGTTCTTTTACAATCAATTAAGCACATTATATGGAAAACAAATAACAGGTACAAACCAGCGATAATCCATCGTAGTTAAACCTCAGTTTGCTAGGTTATATGCCATCAAATGGGTTTATGATATATATAAATCACAGAATCTAAGGACATAAGCCACTCTTCCATTTAAATAAACAAATACAAAAATAGATAGAAGAAGGAAACTTAGTAACTCCCCAATGAAACTCTAGGCCAATGAATAGCTTAATGATATTTATTACCAAAATAAAAGAACGACAGGGAAACCCACCTGCCAAGATCCAAAAAATCCAGTGTTTCAAAAAGCACTAGGCGGCACCAAGACAGTCTGGGGGTTCCAGGCCGCCCGGCCCAGTAGAAAAAAATAATTAGGGTTTTCTCTCGCTAAAATAGCCTCCAATGGGCTTTAGGTTTCAAATGAACCTAAAACCCACAATTTTGCCTCTTTAGTATTAAAAAAATATCCCAAAAATACCCTCAAAGAGCCGCATTTCTACCCCTAGACGGGGCACAGGCCCTGGGCGGGTTCCCGAGCACCTAGGCAGGCATCCAGGGAGATCCGCCTAATTTGGCCACTTAGGCCTGGGCGATGCGCGAAGGCTTTTTGGCCGCCTTGACAACCGCCCAAGCGCTGAGCGGACTGCTTTTTAAAACACTGAAAAAATTCACCACAGGAGCATCAACAGCCACCCACACCTAATCAACAAGAAAAAGTGGCCAACATAACATTTTTGAATATCGACCTTCCTGCGGCAGATAACCCTTCAAGGATATGTTCATATGGAAATCTCTGTGAACTCTCACTAATGTAGGTCTTTGATATCAACCACACACCGCCACTCCCCCCATCCCCAAAAAAAAAAAGAAAAAAAAAAGTATTAGTTGGAAGCTACCCATACTGAAAGATGTCTATAGGGCCTTAGACACATAAAGCTGCCCATCTTTGTGAAGTTGAATAGTTCTCACCACTTCAAAATCACATTCCTAATCAAAATAATCATTCTTTCTTAACTAATTTGTCCACCAATTATATCAAGTTTATTTTATTCACGACCAGTTATGCGATGTAATTAGGGTGCTTATTTTTTTATTTTTAGGATATTGAAATTTAGGTTTAGATTATTTTGGGTTTCTAGTTTTCTTCAGGGGTACTTGTGTCTTTTTCAATAGTAGGGAATTGAGGGGTCAAATTAAACTTGTTTCATAAAGATGAAGGGTTGGGATTTAGTTAGGGTTTCTTAGGGAACAAGTTAAGTTTTTAGGATTGTTTTCTTATATAAATATATAACTCTTGGATCAAAAAAAAATAGAGAGGATAGGAATTTACTTTGGGTTTTGTGACAAGAACTTCTTAGGGTAGACTCCCTTGCAGACCTTAGAGAGGGTATATTATCTCATCCTCTACTTTTATATTTTATTTTTCTGATTTATTTATTTTCTTTTCCCTTTTCCCTGCTTCAATTGGTTTCAGATCTTTACAAAATCCATTCATTACAATGCTACCAAAACCTACTCCTGCGATCAATGATCCATAGCCACAAATTATAGAAGTTATGAGACCACAATTTGAAAAGAGCATAAGGAGCCTATATTAATCCATAAAGGGTATTTGAGTAGAGATTAGTGGAATGAATCAACGGTTGAAACGGTTGGAAAACACCTTTCACAGAGAAGATGATGCTTGCAATCATATAGATCAGGTGCCAACTTTCACCTTAGAGACAAATGTACCTCCACAATCGATTATGGATTCTCCTCCTATATGTACTGAGCAAATTGTGATGAAAGGACCACGATATGAGGAACATTTACATGATCTAGATATCAAGGTCCTTCTTCCAAAGTTACACGAGGAGCTCAAACAAGAAATCAAAATTATGGTTGACATCCTAAAGTTCCTTCTAAGTTGCACATCAAGTATTTGATAAACGCGTTGGGTTCATTTAATTAAATAAAGTACCCAGACGGATGGTGGGACTTCATCACCAACTATTGGAAAGACTATCAAAGAATATGATGAATTCAACAAGCTCGAGATCAAGTTTCTCCTAACCCCAAGAGAATGATGCAATTAAGGTTTTATCATTTTATTTCATTACTTTTAGGAGATTGAAATTTTGGCTTGGATTATTTTGGGCTTCTAGTTTTCTTTAGAGGTACTTTTGTCTTTTTTAGTTTGAGGAGTGAAATTGGAGCTTTACTTTTTTAAAAGATGAAGGGTTGGGATTTAGTTAAGGTTTCTTAAGGAACAATTTTTAGGTTTTAAGGTTGCTTTCTTTTATAAATATGTAACTCTTGAATCAGAAAAATTGAGAGAAGAGGAGAAGAATTATTTTAGGTCTTGTGAAGAGACATTTTAGGGGTAGACGCCTTTGCAAACAAAGAAATATTTTTAAGTCTTGTGAAGAGACCTTTTAGGGGTAGACTCCTTTGCAGACGCTGAGAGATCGTATATTTCCTCATCCTTTATTTTATCTTTTATTTATTTATCTATTTATTTTCTTCCCCTTGTCCCTACTTCGTTATGTGTGGCTCTCCTTTGAGTTTATTAACATTAAGGCAGTCTAGGCAACAAACAACCTCCGCCATAATCATGCATGCTTTGATGGTTACAGATCTTGCGTGGGAGAGGTTTTATGTTGTTGGAATGCTTACCCCTTGGATTCACATCGCCTTGCAGCAGAAACAATTGATCAGCTGGACGGGAACTAGGAACTGAACTGTAAGCTTAGCAACTATGGCTTTGGTAGGCCCGGTTGGTTACAAGACAAGAGCTTGCTGCTCTTGGGCCTCTGTACCAGTAGTAAGTTAGGTTGCTACTTTCAATAAAAAAAGGAAGATTGAGCAACGCAAAGTATAAAGAAGTGAGCTAACCAGCCACCAGTCACATAGAGCACGCTGCCGGTCACCTTCGATCCAGACGTGACATAAAAAAGGAATGTTGCTTCCCGGATGAGGTAGTTTTCATAGGTTTCATTCTATTATGCAGCCATTCACAAAAATTTTATAAATGAATGAATCACCTAGGTGAAATACTAATTACTAGCAAAATACCTAACTTCAATTTCTACATTCTTAAGATTTAGTACACAATGAAAATTCGTCAAGTCTTAGCACCTCAGTCTGTACTTTTTAGAAGGGATTAAGGTTGCCGCATTCATAAGTTTGTCCTTCACTTGAGGTGCTCTTAGTGATGTGGCACAACGTATACATCCAAGTTGAACTTCAAAAGCGTATAGGAAAACAGAGACTAACATCGGGGAGATAGAGAAACTCTGATAAGAGAAGCAACCTTATAATATCAATTGGAAATTCTAATAAGAGAAGCAACCTTCCAATGTACCATTGATGGCAAGGAGAGTAAAAGGCATAAGACAATAAATGAACAACTAAAGAGTTTGAAGGACGATAAAAGTAATGGCTGTCGATTTCATGTAGTAGGATTTATCAAAAAATAAAAAAGTTACACGGAGTAAGTCTTTGTGGCTTGCATTGAAGCCAGTAACTGTTGTATGTCGTCATGGGGTGGGTCAGGAAAAGGTTCAACAGAGAGGACCGGTACTTTTATATTGCCAAAGAGCCTTTTGAAGAGGAGTAGATAAGAAAGAAAGTAGGGAGAGAAGCATCGAGAATGCTCCCTCAGGGGAACCCCCATTAAGGGCTTGGATTAGAGAAAAACATTAGGAAGTACTTCACTTTTCAGGGAGATGCAACTGAAACTGCTAAGCGGCAAGAGGGCTTCTCGATGGAAATTTTGAGGATAAGAATGGACTTTTCAAAGTAAAGAGAAAAGGAGACCCCATCAGGAGGAGTAAGATGAGATTTCCATACAAGAATAGGGAAGAAGATATAACCCATAAGCGCACCCAATGCAGGATTATATGATGGAAAAAGAAGAGGACCAAAAACTCGGGTCTGCCATTGTAAACAAAAAGAGAAAAACAAAGGGAACTTCCTATCAAATTAAATAACAAATAGTGTCACTTGTTGTAGCTAGCCAATGCCTCAATGCTCAGGAGAAAAACATTACATGCTTCATATAAGCACAAGAGGAATATGGGAACAGTCAGCATACATCTAAGGATCAGAACTCCCTATCTTGGAATAAGATAAAAACTATTGTTAGTCCTTAATACAATTTGCTGTTGTGTAACAACTACTAATGTCTATATATCACATAAGAAGCTTAAGTCACCTACGCATGAAAAATGAAGTTACAGCTTACATGTCTCACCTTGTCATAAACTGGGATGAAATAATAACCATTTGGAGCACATTGTGTCCTGTCCTTTACTAATCCATCAATAGTGAGAAGCTCAACCTGTAATATTTTCAACAAGAAAATGGATAATGTAGATAATAATGTGGAAAGTAGAAGTTATTGTCTGTAAAATACTATAATCATGTTTCTCACTGTAGGACAAGTGGAAGCAAAATGAGAGAAACACATGATACTGACTGAAGCATGGCTGCAAAGTTTGCAACCATATGAGGGTCAGGTTGTGAAAGAAAATGGAGATTATTTGCATAAGCTTAATAAATAAGTAAAAGATATTATGAAGCACATAACAAAATTACAAACACTCATCAGGTGTTTAGTAAAGTTGTAAGAATAAGGAATTTGATGAGTAAATTAGCCAGAAACTAAGTTTAATGAACTATAACGGTTAAAACAATACAAACGAAAATATAATAGAAACAGGATTACAAGACCATACAGTGATATGTGAATAATCCAATTTCCCATCAGATAGCTTCCTCGACTTTATCAATGAAGAATGCGCCTGAGATAACAGCATCCACATGTTACCCATCAGTAATGCAAAGCAAGTATAACATACATAAGACAAATACAATGTACGATAATTGCAAAGTTTTTAGCAAATCTATCAGAAACATTAACAAGTGCACCATACAAACACTGAACATACATATACAAAAAAGAAAAACCCTAAATACAGTCTAACTGTATACAGCATTGAGCAGTTCCAAGTTGCCAGAAGCAGTGATGCAGGGAACACAGTCTAATTGTATAGAATGTTATCAAGCCATGAAACAAACTAGAAGGTCAGTGAACCAGTAAAAAAAAAAATGGTGCACTTGACAGTTAACGTGACGCGAGAGAAACGACATTATGAATAATAAGCTGAGGAAGAGAGAATATTCAACCACTATCGAACCCAGGAAATCAGTTCCAAGTTGCCAGAAGCAGTGATGCAGGGAACACAGTCTAATTGTATAGAATGTTATCAAGCCATGAAACAAACTAGAAGGTCAGTAAACCAGTAAAAAAAATGGTGCACTTGACAGTTACTGTGACGAGAGAGAAACTACATTATGAGTGAGGGAGGGACCACGTAACGTGATGAATGACGAATTACGTCACCAGATCAAAATAAAGAACGAGCTGGGAACAGGGGAGAGAGACAGAGAGAGAGAGTACGAAACTGAAACAGGTAATTGTTAAAACCAGAAACCAGTGCAAATGGAAATAGAGATGGAGAGAGAGATTACAGCACTATAGTGGATGAATTTTAAACAACAAATTAAGAGAGACAGTGCGATGATGTAGAGAGAGAGAGATTTACAGTACCTCGACAAATCCACCACATCCTTGGATAGAATCTGCAGTAACGAAAGATACAGAAATTGCAAAAATGAAGCAGCATAAGAAAACCCTAAAAACCATACTGGTGCTACTCCTCCACTGCAATTTTGCCACGATTTTAAGTAACAGATCTAATATAAACTATAGAATTAAACCCTAATTTACAGATCCATTCATCAGCAATTGAAGAACGGCTTGAGCACATTTAAGTGCAGGCACGGCGGTCTCTAAAACTTCTAGCGCTCCTCGCACTATAAATTTCGGCGCGTTTCATTTATATCTCGTCCGATATTACATTCCCGCCCCGGCCCGGCCTTCACTGCGACAAGACGAGACTGTGCTTAAGTTTTCGCGTCTTTTTCGAAATTTCGATGAGATCCCTTCGACTTTTGGTTTTGGAAATTGGAAAGTTTTTTTTTTTTTTTGGAAATTTAAGAAAATTCTTATATATAAACGATAAGAGTATACAACGATATCAAGGTCACCGTCACTTTTGTCCATTAGATTTTAAAATAGGTGGTTTCAAAGGGCTATGATTTTATGCATCAGTTGTATAGTAATATAATGCAACAACTTTAAAAAAAAATCATATTAAGGCAATTTGTTAGATTTAAATTTCAAAATATACACTCTTTTCATTCTAATTAATAATCACAAAAAATTAAAAATTAAAAATACAACCTAGAAAATAAAATTTAGCTCAATTAATATACGTTGTTTATTTTAGTGAGATGCTTAGATCTAGGCCTTAAAATGATATTTTTTCTTTCCAACATTTTTAGATAATTTTATTATCATTAGATTAACAATATTAAAAATAAAAAAATATTTTTAATTCATGAAAACCTAGATCTTGAAATTCATCAAATTGACGGTTTAGATTCATTGTTTGAGATGACTCATTTTGACCATATATAGGGTGCAAATTAGTTTTCTTTTTTCTAGATTGATTATTGAGATGAAGAAAGCGTGTGTGCAAAAAATTTGGTCATGCAAATACCACTGGTTTTTTAGAAGTGTAGTTGCATTATACTATAATACAACCGTTGCATGAAATCCTTGGCCGATTTTAAGTGTCATTGACTAGACTCAGCATTTTAAAAAATTATCAAACACATCGTAAGCTATCCAATTTGACATCTAATGTTTATGAGTCATTGTGACGTCCCCATAATAATGATAAATGGTCGTACAACCTACAATCCCTTAGCACATTACCCCTTTTCAACTATTCCAAGTCAAGATCACATGGGTATCTTGAAACTAAATCTATAAATATGAATAGATTATTAAATTAGGAAAAAGTTTATATAAGGTTGCAACCTTAAAATGTAGAATTAAGATTGCACCAAAAAAATCCAATGGAAAATATTGATTTGGTGTTGAAAAATCCTCTATTAATCATCTTGACATCAATATGTATGAATATGTGAAAAATAAAGATTTCGAGTATCAAAAATAGTGCTTCTTACAACACATTATCTAGACCACCCATTTTCACAATTTTCATGTGTTTGTATATCTACATGATTTGAACCATTTTTTTAGTTTAAAAATTCATAATTAGGGATAAAAATGGATTTATAAGGTCATTCTAAGAATTTTTTAAACTAAAATTATATGATATGATAAAATTTGAAGGTGTACCTTATTTGGATTGTTTACAGTTGCAACCTTATACAAACCACACCCATTATATTATTAGTCAAGTCTAGGTTGGGTCTAACTTTTGGATCCAAAAGTTGAGTTGGATCTAGAAATATTGAACTCAAGAGTCTTGTTAGGTTCCAAAGATTACCAAACATCATTGGTCTGGTCTTGACCATACCTAATATTTTCTATATAAAGATACAAATTTTACGGTTGATCTAAAAAGGGTGAGAACCTTAAACTTTTCATTAACCTATCCTAAGCCCGGGTAAAAGGATGAGTTGTGTTAGGTAGGTAATCAACATAAAATTTTGCCAAAACTTATTCCAAATCAGATATAGATTTTACATTATAATATAGCATGTAATAGGAATTTTAATTTTTTGTATTTTAACCTGAACGTACCTCGACCCAAATTGATGGGTAAGGTCTAAGTCTGACATACCTCAATCCCCCAATATAAAATGCTTTTCCTGGGGAGAGAAAAATTTATGAATATGGGTTGTCTATTTTTAAGAAAAATATTATGTTAAATCAAGGCATTGTTGACAGCCTATGCTTATCTAGTATAAAAATATTGCGACAGTCTTTTTATTTTTATGTGGGTTATTTAGTAAGGGCAAGAGGAAATGTGTGCAAATGTCTCGAGATCCATGAAACTAAAAACATAGACCAATGTGATAATATCACATTTGGGCTGGAATGTTGGGAGGTCAAGAAACAACATCTTTATAAGATAAGTATAGCTGCGATGAGGATGTTGAGATGGATGAGTGACAAGATAATAATAGATAGAATTCTAAATGAATACATTTTAGAGAATTTAGGTGTAGCTCTAATAGGTGATATGATAAAAAAAAGTAAACTTAGGTGGGTTGGACGTGTACAGTGCATACCCAGTATTGTAAGTACAGTTCCTATTAGGAGGTGTGAGTTAGTTTAAGTGTAATGCTAAAAAATGACAATGTGTAGGACCAAAAACCATGGTTGAAAGTAGTTAGAAAATATATAGGGGCTTAAAGCTTCATTGATGGTACGACCCTCGATAGGAAAAAATGGCGGATAGGATTCATATAGCCGACCCCAAATAGTTGGGAAAAAGACAATGATGATGATGATGAACAGAGCAATGTGACCATATACAAGCAACAAAATATTTTCCCAAAATGGAATGGGTGTATAGAGATTGGTTGGTGACAAGCTAGGCTCCGCTAGGCCACAGCATTGGATCTCCACTGAGATCCATCGGGGTACCTTCAAGGCAAGCCCTAGCTCTGTCCAAGCCACATTGAGCCAATTAAACTCAAAAGGAAAAGTGAAAAAAAGAAAAATAGGGAGAAAAAGTTATTGCATTGGACCTGGGCCATATTTAATGGCTTAGGTTCTAGCAATTAGGGTTGGGCCTTCTGAGCACCCAGCCCATTGCCTAATACTTTATAGAAGCTCATGACATATAACAGAGAACAAAAAAAATACGGTATAGAAGCTCATGATAAAACAAGGAACAAAAGAAAAAAAAATAAAATGATACTTTTTTTTAGGGTGAGTCAGTGGGTAGAGGGCCCCTACCCTTGCTAGGAATTAAGCCTAGAATGGAGCTTTGCAAATCGTCAAGTGCTAACCAATTAAGTCCAAGCTATTTTCCTGAAAAAGATACTTAAATAGTGCTTTTACACACATCCAACTGATGAACATGTGGTAAAAGAAAGCAATGCATGATGGGGTTGAGCCAAGGGCACCGCAGGAAAGTGGGTTGGAGTTTACGAAAAATGGGCTTTTAAGTTACAAAGTGGATAGGACGTGGTTAGCAAGCCTGCACATGTAGAAATACGGGCCCCTTAATGAATTTATTTTTAGAGAATTGTAATAGAATTCAATCTTAAATTTTAGAGAATATATAATATTTAAGATGGAGATCATGAATTTGAAAAAATAAATTAACTTTGAAAACTATAATTAATAATTCGATCAAAAAAACATTTGGACCATTAGTTTCAATTGTTTTTAGATAGATTACCTATTTGCATCCATCTTAAATATGCTTTATACCTTTGGACCACATATTATACAAATACAATCCAACCTGCATGAAACAATTGTTCGAGTGGATATTGAGATACCATGATTGAATGTGTGCACCAAATTAAAAAGGCGGGGGTAGAGGACTTGGAAAATTAGGAAGCAACACATTAATATTTTATAAGTATTTTTATAGAAATTATTACTTTATTTTAAAATTTTAAAATAGTCACATTATTTCAATACTACACTCGAATCTCACAAATGGATATGCCGGATAAAGTAGTCTTCGGTTTACTTGTGCAATGGGCCGAGGCCTAGGGCGGGTTGCTGCTGCCCCTAACCTGGGCGATTGAGCCAAAAATGCCTCGGCCCAAGCTCCGCACTACCCCTATTAGGTCCGGAATGGGCCAAATAAAATTGTAAAAAAAAAATAAAAATAAAAAAAAAGAGGGTTGGGCCGGGATGAACCGGCCAATCTTGGGCCATGCCCAGGGGCCCGACCTTATGCTCGTGGCCGTAGTTACCCGGCATTGGCCCTGCTCTTGGGCCACAGTTCGTGGCCCAAGTCCTAATTATTTGGGCTGGGCCAGTCCACCCAGCCCATTGCCACCCAAGTTTAAATTCTAACACAGGTAGATTTCTGATGACCCGTGCAGTGGCATGGGTTACAACAAAAAAATGGGCAATTTAATGAGGAAGACAGGCTTGCATGCTTTTTCAAGTAGATTACGAGTTAGTTTATTGAAGATATAAGTGGTGTGGTGTTAATGGTGGGAATAAAAACCACAACGTGATGACTAAGGTGTGGAATGTTACTATCACGACCATAAGTAGGTGCATACAACAATCATTTTTTCAGATTATAGCTGTCAGGTATCCCGTTGTACGTTTTTTGAGTAATTCAATGGGGATAACGAGCCCTAAGTTTTTCAAAGTCTATATAAACCCCGACGCCAACCCTTTGAAGGGCATTGTAGTGCGTATTCGTTAATGTGGATAAAACAATAAGCTTGGCTGCCAGAACACCTTTGACTTTGGAAGCAAAGAGTTCGAGGTTTTTATAGTGTTTATGTGTTTGATACCCTGAAGTGCTATAATAGGAGGCTTGTCATGGTCCATGCCACTTATGGAAGATTGAAGTTTGAAATTTACTGATGGATTGCCGTATCATTTTCAAATTTGTTTTTTATACATTTTTTTATTTTTATCTTTATAAAATTTGTATATAAATGAATTTTGGATATTTTTTATGAGGGATGCATTGTTTTTATAAATAAGAAAATGACTCGAGCAAATAAAAAATAAAAAAAATACCACTCAAAGCATCGAGGGTATTTTGAAAATTCTATTTTCAAGATATTTTGTTTTATATTTTTTTGGAGGTGCATGAGGGGTAGGAGAATAAATGCCCCAAACTTACCAGAAAAAAAAGATAAAAGTTAGGATGGTTTAAATGTTTTCAAGTGAGCTATAGTGTCAGCCATCTAGTCATTTTAAAAATGTTAGCCTTATATTCATCCATTGTTATTATTTTCTTAATATTATTATATCAAGGTGAAATTTGGTATTTCTGCAAAAAAAAGTA